CATCAAAAAGTGGATGTAATTGATGATGAAGTGTTTTATTGATTTTAAAATATATTTATATTAGAAATAATTATCAAATTAAGAATAAAAATAAATTTTCTTAACCTCATAAAGAGTACCAGAAACTAAAGACTCAGTGCAAACCAAAGTGGTTAAAGTCTATACAATGACAATAAAAATCCATGATAGGTTTCTGTCTCAGATGTTGATGTTAGGTTATTCAGACAAAGTTAAACAGTGAAAAAAATTAAAACTTTGAAAAAAATATTTTAATAGATGTAACAAACTAAGGAAATCTCATTTACCCTTAGAGAATTTTCCAAACCCAGAAAATTTGAACTTTCCTTTGGATGGCCTTAGGGAGTCAGGAGATAAATCAAAACTTCGTGCCCATAAGAGTCTAATAAGAGATATAATAAATTAAGGTATAGAGTCTAGTAAGAGATATAATAAATTACGATCGAAAAGAACTAGGTATCAGGGAGCTATCAGTGTGAACTACAAGTTGAATAGTCCACATAATGAAATACTGGCCATGTTATAATTATCTGGGATGCCCAAGGAGCTTCATACCTTGAGCTTAGCTGAAGGTGGTATGAGATTAGCAGTAACCTCTTGTCCCTGGCAGAAACAAGCAAAATTCTCTCTGGAGGAAAATACCTTCATCTAGACCTCAAAATAGTTCCTGATATTTTTACTCAAAACAATGCACAGCAGATAATCAAAGATAACTAGGCACACAAGGAAACAACACAAAATGAACAAGAATCAGTGGGAAAACAGACGACAGAAACAGACCTACAGTGGCACCTCATCTCACTCAAATAAAAGCAAAGTTGTCTAAATGACCACACAGGCCTATAGGATCCACAATGCCTACCTCTCATTTCTTGATTCTTTGCTTACTCACCTCTAACCATATTGGTCTCCTTGCTGTTTTTCTGACATGTCATGTATACCATTATCTCAGAGACTGTCTAGTTATCTTCCCCCAGTTATCTATGTAACTTCACCCTTCAACTCCTTCAGATCTTTGTTCAAATGTCTTTGTCTGAATGAGCCTTCACTGATCATTCTTTTAAAAATATAATCTTCCTCCTGAGGTCTTTCTGTTTAAAATGTTTCTTAATTTAAAATTTTATAGATATATAATTTTTGTACATATTTACAGGGTACATGTGAAATTTTGATATAATCATACAACGTGTAATGATCAAATTAGGGTAATTGGGATATCCATCACCTAAATAATTTATCATCTGTTTGTGCTAGGAACATTCCAATTCCACTCTTCTAGATATTTTGAAATACACAATAAATACTGTATTGTGCTATGTAGTTCAATATTGTGAACTATATATAGTTGTTCTACTGTGTGCTATTGCTATGGTTTGGATCTTTGTCCCCACCAAATCTCAAGTCGAATTGTAATTCGCAGTGTTGGAGTTGGGCCTGGCGTGGGGTGATTGGATCATGGGGGCAGAAGTCTCATGAATGGGTTAGCACCATCCCCTCAGTGCTGTTCTCATGATAGTGAGTGAGTGAGTAAATTATTGTGAGATCTGGTTGTCTAAATGTGTGTAGCACCTCTCCTCTCCCTTCGTCCTGCTCTGGCCATGTGAGACGTCTTGCTCCCACTTTGCTTTCTGCCATGATTGTAAGTTTCTTGAGGCCTCCCCAGAAGCAGAAGCCATTATGCTTCCTGAACAGCCTGCAGAACCATGAGCCAATTAAACCTCTTTTCTTTATAAATTACCCAGTCTCAGATATTACTTTATCATAATGTGAGAACTGACTAATATAGCTACTAAGCACTCGATGTTATTCCTTCTAACTATTGGTATGTACCCATGAACCAACCCCTCTTTATTCCCCCTTCCCCACTACCCTTCCCAGCCTCTGGTATCTATCATTCTACTCTCTATCTCCATGAGATCAATTGTTTTAGCTCCCACATATGAGAGGGAACATGAAATACTTGTCTTTCTGTGTCTGGCTTATTTCACTTAACATAATGTCCTGCGGTTCCATCCATGTTGTTGCAAATAACAGGATTTTATTCATCTTATGGATTAGTAATATTTCATTGTGTATATGTACCACATTTTCTGTATACATTCATCCATTGATGGACACTTAGGTTGATTCTATATCTTGGTTATTGTGAATAGTGCCACAATAAAATGGGAGTGGAGATACCTCTTAAATATACTGATTTTCTTTCTTTTGACTGTATACCCAGTAGTGGGATTGCTGGATCATATGGCAATTCCATTTTTAGCTTTTTGAGTATCCTCCATAGTGACTGTAGTAATTCCCATTCCCATGAACAGTGTAGGAGAGTTCTGATTTCTCCTAAGGTTGAACTTTCTGTCTCCTTTTCCTGATTTATTTTTCTCCATAGCATTTGACACCATACACATACAACATATATTTTCCTGTATTTCCCCATGAAAAGGTAAGCTCTTTGAGGGCAGATAACTTTGCCTGTTTTGTTTACTCCTGTATCCACAGGGCCTAGAATAGTGTTTGATGTTCAGAAGCTCAATATGTATTTGTAGAATGAATAAATAAATAAATGTATGTAGGTAAAGTGCTTGGAATAGGGCCTGGCTGAAAATAACTACTTAATATACATCAGTTATTATTACTACTATTAAAAATGAAGAAAAGAATGCTGAACTGACATGGATTCTAACTCCGGATTACTTTTCATCAAAGTAGCCTCTAGCAGGGAACTAATCTTTCAGTGATGAGTTTTATGAAAATTATTTTACTTATATGGGAAGATATTATTACTACTTCCCATTTATACAAAGGCATAAAGAAAGAATTTGGTTTTCTAGTATTCCTCACAATACAAGGAAGGAAGCAAACTTTTGGAGTTTGATTTCTATGGCAGTGGCTTCTAGGACAAAGATATTGGGAGGCTTTCAAAAGTGGTGTCGATGAGACCAATGACAGAGATCTGGGTAACTACAAATATATGGTCTATCCTGCAGTTCACCACCAATGGGTCTTCCCCAGACAAGTCCCCACACACATGACACTCACAGCATTTCCGTTTTCAATCCAGGTGATGGTGGGGACAGGAATGCCTGTTGCTGTACAGTGCAGGGTCACAAAGGAGCCAAAGGTGACATTGTGGGATTCAGGAGCCCGCAGGATCCTGGCAAAAACTGTTAGGAAGACAGAAGTGGTGAGTGATGCTCCCGTAGGAAATGGTCAAGCTAGAGCGGTCTTTTAAAAATGCAAATTAGACCATGTTCCCCTGTGTCCAGTTCTTCAGTGTTTGCTCTGTTTTAAGGATAATACCATATGCCATGGCCGAGCCACCAAGCCGTTTATGTTATAACCCTACATTTCTCACCACTCAAGGACACACTGAGCTTGTTCTTAACATAGAAACTTGCCCTTGTTCTTCCTCTGCCTAGACCACTCATCCCCCAGATCCTTAAGTAGTAGGTTCCTTGAATCATTCAAGTCTCTGTTTAAGTGACATTTTGTCAGAAAGGTCCTTCTTAATCACCCAAAATCAAGTGTAATCCTCCCCCCATTCACTTTTCAGCAGTCTACATTATTGTCTTTACAGACCTTACAACTATCTGAAATTACCTTATTTATTTTTTACTTGTCTACAATTCCCCTTTCCCATTAAATTGTTTGAAGCCAAAAGCCTTGCCTTTTGTTGACTGCTGTATTGTTTCAGGCAGAGTTCCTGACCAGAGCAAGCACAGGATAGTAGTTTATTGAATTAATCAAATAATTATACTTTACACCCTCAACTGTATCATAGTGAGAGGACAGACAAATTGTGTCAAATTTTCAGATGACATATTGGGCAAAAAAAAAAAAAAAAAAGAGGATATTTTAGATAAAATGTAGGCAGGAGACTGAGTAATTTCTATTCCTTTCTGACCCTGAATCCCCACCGATTAAGTAAGAGGAAGTTATTTTGATGTAGGAAGAAATTTTACCTTTAAAGAGTGGGATTCAGGTTCACAATGCATTGTAAATTGTGGGATACTTAGATTCACAGAATCGTTAAACTTGGAAGAGACTCCAGAGATCAGCTAGATTCCTGCTCTTATCTTACAGATGTGGAAACAAAATCTTTTTTAATTTAAGTAAGTTGGTTTCCCAAGGTAACAAGTAGATGAGTGAGAAACCTGGACTCAGGTCTTCTGACTTCAAATTCAGTGTTTGTTTAAACTATTATGGAATCTTTTGGATGGCCTATTATACTGTAAATATATTTTAAGCTCCTAGTTTTTTATTTCTAGAACTTAGAGTATGAAGCCCCAATTAACACAATGCTTTGAAACTTAGTTCTAGTTAAATTGAAATTTGTAAAGATTGGATTCTAAACTAAAGTATGGGCAGACCACATGTGCTAGATAAGGAGATACGCAGGACAATGATAGAAGAGGTCCAGAGCGGTGTTTCAAGTTGGTCTGATTGTTAAATACCTCTTAAAAAGCATTGCATAATTTAAAGAGATTAAAGAACATTTGATTTGTCTGACAATTGAAGGCTTTTTGCAGATTTAAATTAATTTGACTTCCTATCTTTTGATATTGACATTTTAGATATAGAAATGTGGGGCCCAAAAGCCAGGAGAAAAGAAATGCAAGGAAGGTGCTATCTTCAAGGCAAAAAGATTATTAAAAAAATAACAAAGAACGCTGTCAAATGTTTAAAACGAAGCTGAATCTGTCCCCCAAAACCAAAATTGAGGCTGACTTTAAGTAAATCCTGGGGTCTAATTAACAAGCTACAAAAATTAAAGGGTTGAGGAACATTTCAAAGAACACTATGGAGATGCAATTCAATCAAACCCAGACATTTAACAGGGAAAATCATTAGCATCGGGGGATAAAAAAGGAAGAGTGATGATCCATTATAGACTACAAGAGATGTAAGAGACATATTACCCAAATGCAATGTATGGCTCTGCTTGGATTCTTATTCTCCCAACTTAATCTAAATTCACACGTTGTAGACTCTTAACAAGTAACACTGACAGGCATCCTAGTGAGGGTGCATCCAGGTACTCTTCTAATGTTTTCCGGTTACAATAATGGAGACATAGAGTCCACGTTCATCATCTGGCTAAAATAACTCTCGTAGGGGTTGGGGCCATGCTTGTGTTTCCTAAATTTTTTGAGTGTGGGACTACTGCATGACCATCTATGGATCCCATTGCCCCTGAGAATCTGAAACAAGCAGGATCTTTGAGAGATTTGGAAAATCTAGCACATTTCAATCTCACATGTGCTAGAAAGCTGTTCTAGTAACATTGACTATACCCTTGAACTTTTCGAATCAAAAAGGCTTTTTGAATGAAAGCCTTCTGGCTGAAGATGAGCAGAATAAAAAATTGGAGAATAATGTAATTTCGATTATGTTTTACTGCTTTAATTTATAAAGCCAAGAGTTTTAATTTGGGGACTTTAAATTCTTCCTGGAAATATAGTAATCAGAAAGGTTTTATTTTGTCCTAATTTACAGCAGTTTTTTTTCTTTTGGCTGTTACTATTTGGAATATCATTTGGGCTTATTGCAAAACCTCTGATTATCCACATTGCACAACACAAGTAAGCATAGTGTGGGATAGTAAATAAAACAGTCAATTCAACATGACTTTGGAATTAATTTAACTAATGTACTATTCTGCCCTCCACTGGAACTTTTTGGGGGTTCCAGTGGGGCACAGGCGGGTACAGGAGTACTACTGACATTATAGGTAGCTTCGTGAATGTGAGACTGCCGATAAACTTCTCCCTGAAGGGGGCAGATATACTTTCACTGACGATGGGCTTCATTAAGTGCAGTGGGTTAGGTTAAGAGGACAAAAAGGCCAGGAATTAAAGGGAAGCTGCTTTCTCCTGCACTCTCGCATTCTCTAAATGATAACATAGAAACTCAACCCCCTTATTTCAGTATTGAAAGTTAGTTTCCACCCTTCCTTCCAGTCTTCCTCCCTTCTCAAAGGAGATAGCAGATGTCTTTTGGGTTTCTACTCAAATGTTTCCTTATCATAGTACTTTCTCATCCCCGTTCCCCTTACCCTTGTTTATATTTTATCATAACAACACTATCTGAATCATTTGGTAATTACTGATTTATTTGTTTGCTTGTTTGTTTTTTGTCTGTCTCTCCCCTCTAGAATGTAAGCATCACAAGGGTAAGGTTTGCTTTGCTTTTTGACACGAGCTGACTGACACAATCTACATATCTATCTACGTATCTATCTCTAGTTCTAGAATCCTGCATGGTGCATATATATGGTAGGCACTCAATGAATATTTGCTAAGTGAACTAATAAATAAATGAATGAACATAATGACTTCTCTGATAAGGTTGGGGGAAGGCACTTGGATATGTTATGTGTATCTCAGTCCTATTCTGAGCTATCAGTCTCCCAGCTCTCTTGCATCTAAGAAGGATGTGTGTAAGTAAGTTCACCAGGTCAGGGCTTCTTCATCCTACAACTAGGAGTGAAGGGGAAAGAGTGCGGTGGGGAGGAGGAGGATGAGGAAACAGAAGTTATGTTAGTCTAATTCTCACATGGAATAGAAATCTTTATTTTTCATTCCAGCCTTATCAGCAATAAAGCTGATATATTTTTACCTAACTCTATCTGAGCAATTGCATAATACTCAGATTTACCATTTTCAAATATGAAAGATAAAAAGGTGATGAGGGAAATTTTGACATGTTTTTCAAGCATCATAAACAATAAAGTCAGTTGCAATTAAAAATAAATACCAGACTAAACTCCATGAATAATAATACACCTGCAATAACAAACTTGGACATAAGTCAACAGTAAATCCCATTATTTCAGTGGTAGTCACAAGCTGAAAATGCATTCTAGGTCATCAATTTAAAAAGCTATATGAAATGTTTCTTGTTAAATAAAATGGGCATAGAATATCCCTATATAGTGCTTTATTTGCATAAAAGAATATAAAAGTGTTTTGTTACATAAACAAACCACTTAATAGAAGGAGCATTAAATTACTTAGTTGGAAAGCATTTATAACTGTTTTGATGTGGATTTTTAAACAAGAAAGTCATCAAACCACTCTTTCCGTACATAGTCTTATCCATAATTCTCCAATTCACTGTGAGCCCTAAGCCACTTGCTTTCCTGTGGGCAGGCAAGTGCATCTGCAACATGGAAAATAGACACAGGTAATATTTTTATCTCTGGGTTTTCTCTCATGGGATTTATTCATGAGTTTGGGGCTTTAATGTCTCTTGGGCAGACTTGCAGGCTAACTGCAAGTGGAGAATCCTATATTCAAAATTGGGCTCAAAAAGCCAGCAATTCTAAAATCTTTTATAACATACCTGCATTATGTTCTCTCCTTATTTCAAAGCACTTTCAGATACATAATCAGTTTTATTATTGATTGTCATCTTAAGAAGTAATATATAGTAAAAAGATAAAGGCATAATTCACTCTGAAGTTGCACTGGAGTGTAATAAAAAGCCCAAGGGACAGGGATCCACATTAAGTCCTGAAATAAATGAGTGGTTTGGCTGCAGATGAACTACCTCTCTTTTCTTGGTAAGGGAGCAGTGCCAGAGGAATACTTAAGTCTCTTATCAATTTCTATTTCTGAGAAGTTATTTCAAAGGACACAATGAGCTCCCATGGATTTTCTTTTCCCTTGCTCTTTTGTTATTTTCTAGCTTCCTTTGAAAAGGGTTTTTAGGTTACATGATTCAAACCAGCAATAACTGATAGAAATAAATTAAGAAAAAAAATCACACAGGACCAGGCAAAACGCTTTTTAACTTGCATTTAGTTGTAAGCAACCCAGTATTTAAAAATAAGAAAACATTATCTGTACTTTATATGAGATACTAAGATAAGGAAGTATAAGGAGGTACTGTTTTAAATAATACCAGTTTAAGATTAATTCCTACAGGCAACTCTATTACATGAGAATTCACGAATTTCATCCCCCAAATATCAAATTTTAGGTTAGAAGAGCACAAAGTTTGGGGCTTAATCAGAATGCAAGGAACTTTTTTTTTTTTTTTTTTTTTTTTTTTACAGAAAACAGAAACTGTTGACAGAAAGCTGTTAGGAAAAAGTAGAATTTTTCCCAAACAAATTTAATTTCCAGCTATTTTTCTCTAGTCATATTCCACTACATATATATGTCTCTGTGCAATTAAAATAACTTAATTTTTATTGATTTGGAGCAATTGCATAATACTCCTGATCTTGTTGAAATCATCACAGTAAAAACCAAATTGGCACCTTGACATCCTAACATTTATCCAAAAACTGTAAAGCCCCCTACTCCCCGCAAAAAGTCTTTTAGTCAAAGGGTAGCTTTCTTTTCCAGTCTATGTGGGATTTATACTCTCATGCTGATTTATTTCATTTCATTTTGTTTGTATTTCCAGAGACATCAAATTTAAACATTTCTTTTAACTCGATCTTTCTTAAGAAATGCAAATGGTCAGTAAGCATATTGGATTATATAATAAAGAAGCCTATCTAATAACACTGTTAAGTGCTGTGACTTAATATTCCCCATACATTGTTTGTTATTTCTTTAAAAAATGGCACTTAGGGCTGTTTATAAGGTCAGCAAAAATAAACAGTTGAAAAGAGCTACACATTTAAAAAGAAGCCATGCAGAAAGAAAAAAAAAATACCTTTAGTATCTTGTTCAGGTTCACTTTCTTCTGTTAATAAAAACAAGACAAAACAAACACACACAATAAACACGCAAACAAAACAACACATCATGAAAAGGGAAATCTTTGACCACAGAAACATCAATTGTGCAACAAGATTAATTAGAAGCTGCTTGTTTCTTATTTCAGTAAGAAACAAATGCAATCAAGGGAAACTGCTGACCTTTTGAAAGCAAACTATTAAACGACACAAGATTTCAAAATGATTACTTTTAGCCAGGCAGTATTATACAGAAAATAAACTACAGCACACCTAACAATGTAGCTCTTTCATGAATTTTTATTCTAATGTTGACAATTACCCTTTCTTTCAAGGCTACAGAGTGCCTACTATTCTCATACATTGCGATCCCCCCTCTTAGCTCACAGTCTCCTCTTACCAGGCCCTGCTGTGAAGTCAGTGGTGTTGAATCTGGGATCTCAGCTATCATTTCTATGGCAATAGACTCATGTTGTGGTAAACAGAGGATTAGGGGGTTTCTGCAGAATAGAACCTACCACCAACAGAGATCTGCAACTCTGCACCAACACAGAAGCTGCTTGGAGAGCAGAAAAGAGCAAATCATTACCTTCTGGGAATCTACTAAGGAAGTAAGGTCCACAGGATATTGTAAAATGTTTAGATTGGATAGAAAGAATTGAGAATTTATAAATGTTTAAAAATCCTAGAAGAGAGATAACAAAACCAAATTAATTGTTCCAAAATGTTTAATATAACCATGTTAGACATAGTCCCCACATGGAACTCTAGTTTTCTTTCCTGAAGTTTTATTTGTTCATGTCAATTTGAATCTTTCTTAGAGTTAGTAATAAGTCAACTGCAATATTTATTTGTAAGTAAAAAATGGTCATGCTATTGCTAACAAACCTTCAATGACAATAACAACATTCAATGCATAGTCCTTCACAGATTATGGATATTTTCATGCACATTTTTTATGTGATCCCGTTTAACTCTCGCCACATCTCTGTAATTGAACATAATTGATATTATCCATCCTAAGTTTGTGAACCTGTACATGCAGTGGAAATGATCTGCCAGCAACCGCATCATGGATGCCAAGGACCATGCATCCATCCAGATGAACTTAGCCAAGGTTGACAAGGTTATAGGCAGGTTTAATGGTCAATTTAAAACCTATACTGTCTGTAGGGCCATTCTCAGAATGGGTGAGTCAGATGACTCCATTCTCTGACTGGTCAAGACCAACAGCATCTCAAAGAACTTCTGATTGGAGAGAATTGTGAGTGTTGAATATTTGTCATAAATAAATAGTGAAACCCTTCACTTTCTCTCCCCAAAATTAGCCCATTTTCTGGACAAAGGGTCTAAGTCTTAGAGATTTGCTGCAGGTGCAGAGTCAGAAATTCAACCCCCTTTACAGACATTGAGTCTTCCCAATGAGAAGGTCTCATATTTACACTTAACACCCAATCCCCTTACATTTAAGTGAATTTGTAATTCCTCATTGAGATTCTACTGTCTGAACTTTCCCTACCTCCATCAACTCAGTGGTACATTCTTGGTTTTTGTTTTTAAGCATCAAGTTCAAAAACTATTTAAAACTTCTAAATTGAATATATTTATTGTTAAAAGGAGATTTAGAGGTTGTCCATCAAATATACCTTCAAATGAAGAAATCTTTTTTTTACAATATTCCTAACGGTGCCTGGTAAAAGCACAGGTATTGGATAAATATTAGTTTCTTTCATATTTAAAACTGGTCATCTGGACATTAGGAAACTGCAGATTCCCTGTCTGTATCACAGACTTCAATCAGGAGAAATAAAAAAGGTCCATGACTGGGCCTGATTAGACCTGAAAAATTGCATTCGAATGCCTTTGGGCTGGACACAACTTTCTAGAGCCCCAGAACAAAGTGCTTGTTTCTAAGTTTGGGAAAAAAAAAACCCAAAACAAAACAAAGCAAAACAAACAAACAAACAAACAAAACATACTCTCTCTCTCCCTTTTTCTTTTCCCTTTATCAGCCAAGTAACTTAGAGTGGTTGGGATGGCCATGGTGTTTTTACAGGGATATTAAGTGTCTTTATTCTGCAACTGTGGTATCTCCAAAACTTTATTCCACTAAAGTTAAAGAGTATCAGTAATTTTTTTCCATCAGTAAATTTTGAGAATTATATTCACTTGTCATTTTCTTCTCTTAGAGTGTTCTTTGTCAGGGTTCAAGGGCAACTGCAGGTCAATTCTGAGTCTCCTTTCAGTTTTGCTCCATGACCTATACAGGACTATACTTGAACTCTACTTTGAGTATAGGCTCAATTTTAGACAATGTTAATTTTCCTTTGACGTTTTTCACTTTGATGTTATTGCTGTTACTACTGTTTGTTTTGCCTTATTTGTTTGGGATTGGAAGCAGTGCAAAATTTTGAAAGAATACACCTATTTCATCCACTGTAAATAAACAGTGGATGAACTCAAGAAATGAAAGAATGTCTAAGATTTGTCATTTTCCTAGGAGGAAGCTTGGAAGTTCTACCAGAAATTATAGTTTCAGTTATAGACTATCAAAATTTCTTTCTAATGCAAATATTTTATACCTCTTTATAGATACAAATTTATATATGTTTATGCATTAACATACACACATTTACATGCATGTGCACACAATTGAGGTTACTTTAAATTAGAGAAAATTATGCAAGTAAAGTCTATAGGCCTATTTCAGCTCAGGTATAGTTATTCACTGTATGACTTTGTTGGTCATTTTAAGCTCAAACAGTAGTCCTAGTTTTTCCACATATCCTGCTTGCCTAGCCTACTATGATCACCCTTGACTTCTGAACTTGTTGTCTTACCACTTATCAATTTTAAAATATTCTGCTTCATATTCTTTATTCCCATTTAATGACTAAATTTTTATTTAACTGTTTTATATGTAATGCATTGTTCTTGTCTTCCAAACTGATTTGTAATCTTCTTTAGGGAGGTTAGGGCTAGAATTAAACTGGGATTAGTATCACACTTTTGTTGTTGGTTTATTTTCCTCTAAAGTCCAGCACAGTCTCTTGCAGAAAAAAGAACACGCTTATTGTTAAACAAGTCATTTGCCAGTTGCATTAGTGGGTCATTTTCATCCGATTTTGTTGGAATTGTCCAATAGGATATTTAGAATAATCAATGACTGCTCTTATTGGACTAATTGAAGATATAATTTATTCAGTTCACTTCAACATCCAAGGTAAATAGTAATCCATAATTTTCTTGAAAAGTTTTATTTATGAGAAACTCAGTACCATAGTAGCAACACATTTTGAACAACTGTGCTATAAAACAGAGAGAATATCTGTAACTCAAAATCAAACCAAAACCAATCTCTTTATAATCACTATATATAAGACCTTTTTCCTACTTCTATCCACCTAACAAGAATGAAAAAAGAAATTCATCAAATAGTTTTGTTTCCAAGATTGATAGCCACAATTTAACATTCTGATTGCTCACTTTTGAACTCACGTTTCTCTTATTTTGTGGTACTCAGAACAAAGTTAACACAGAGAGAGTCTAACAAATTCTAAGAACAGCAAGATCCTAAGTGCTCAGCTTCTATGCAGACATATTTGCATAATTTTTATTTAGTGATATGACACAGCACATTAATTTCATTGAAAATCATGAATATCCAACCCTTGTTTTTAATATCTTCCTAATAGTTTATCTACCCAAGTTTGAACGTGAATGTTTGTGTGTGTGTGTGTGTGTGTTATGATTCTAGAGAAGATAAAATAAGTTTTTCCTACTCAATTCACTGTATTACTTGTTTGGAGAAAGAATTTGGAGGGGAAATCTATTGTTACATAGAAGAAGGAAAGCCATAAAGATTCCATGATAGAAATAAAAGTAAAAACATCTAGTAAAATCATACAGATTACATAGACCTGTGGAAAGAAAGAGACAAAACCAGAAGAGAAAACAGGCAGAGCTGTGGAAAGGTTTGTCTTCTTTTGACACAAGAGTGGACGCTGCCAAGAAGATAATAGGAATTTGGCCATGTAGAGTCAAAGTCTCAGAAGAGATTGAAATCATACATTCTTTGTGCTTTGTTAGATGGCACAGGGACCTCCTCTTTCTGCTAATGGAGTTATCATAAGACAAAACATGCAAATAAAGCAAGCAGAATTTGGAGGTGAAGCCAAATAAGATCTGGCTAGCTCCACTTTGGGAGAGGTATTTTGGAAAGGTTTGAGCAATAATCAAATACTGAAATCATGAAGGGAAAGAATTTGAGATATGTATGAAAGGGCTCCTTTGAACATGGGCATTCCAAAGAGCTTTCAGGTATACTGGTCAATTTCTTATCTCAGTGATTAGGGTCAAGTCAATGTAAGTAATAAATCATGTAGTGGCATATAGCATAAAGATTAAGTGAAGAGACTCTGGATTTAGGCTGCCTGGTTAGAAGCCTTGTTATACAATTAATTTCTAATAGGGTATTTCTGCTATATAGGAAAACTGTTAATATATGTGTACATAAATATGTGTTTTATTTGTAAATAGGATTAATTATCATATTAGTTAAAGTAGCTTTGGAGTTGATACTCTTGTGTTTTCTAGATGGATAAAAA